AAAAGCCTCAAGAACCCATACCCTAAACTCGACAGGAAGTCCGTCATTTTGAATTTAGCGACCGATTTGGGACGATTTACACACTCCGTACTTTAACGAACTCCTCCTAGGGATTTAGTCGGATCAACTTCAAATTTCTGCTGTACCTTCTAAAGGCATTGACGATGTAAAGTTGTGCTATCTGCGCGTTTTCGTCGATGGGCGTGTCCGTGGCGTCGATGATTCGCCATGAAACAGGAAGTTGTAGTAACTTGGCTGTAAATGCCCAGATCTGCATGAAATTTTACACATTTGACAAGAGTCCCGCCCTGAACAAATTTACATGCTGACATTCACCCACAGTCATAGCGCCACCTAGTGGCAACAGGAAGTGACCTTTAACGAAGCAGCACCCGCCGCATGTTTGACCGACATGTACGAAATTTCTGTGGTACATCTACCATGTCCAGACGCACAAAAAAGTCTCTTGGAGTGATGCCCTAAACTCAACAGGAAGTCCGCCATTTCGAATTTTACTGCCATTTTTGGATGATTTACTCATTACGTACTTTCACTAAACTCCTCCTAGGGATTTAGTCGGATCAACTTCAAATTTCTGCTGTACCTTCTAAAGGCATTGACGATGTAAAGTTGTGCTATCTGCGCGTTTTCGTCGATGGGCGTGTCCGTGGCGTCGAAGATTCGCCATGAAACAGGAAGTTGTAGTAACTTGGCTGTAAAAGCCCAGATCTGCATGAAATTTTACACATTTGACAAGAGTCCCGCCCTGAACAAATCTACATGATCGACATTCACCCACAGTCATAGCGCCACCTGCTGGCAACAGGAAGTGACCTTTAACGAAGCAGCGTAGCAAATGCACAGCCGCACCGGCTGAGCTCCAGAATATACAACGCGGCCGCCTCACACCCCGACGCGCTACAGGTGCGAGGGCCCGCCCATCGCTGCTTGCAGCTTTAATTTTTCATTTGTCATTTTTCAGAATGCAGAAAACATCGTGCCCAGAAAATATTCCTGTACCAAGGCATCGTGGACAGAAGAGTTAAAAATGTGAGTAATTTTCCCTTTGTTGCTCTTGGTCTTTTGCCTTTGTGCCGACAAAAGCCATGGCAGGAGACACTGGGTCTCATTCATGAAACATGAGCAGAACAAATTTGTGTGTAAATCGTGTGTAAAGTGGTTCTGGCACAAATTTTCAGATTTTTCATAAATCGTCTTACAAAAGCTCTAAATGCAACTCTTGCTGCTTTCTGAACGAACTGTAACTTCTCTCTATATGTCTTTGGTTTCAGGGAAAAGAAGTCAAAGTTATGTGGACCCCTTGCTCAATATGGTAGGTCTTAACCCTCCTCCTACTTAACCATCCTAGATGAAATAAAGTGGCGTAATGGGCTGCAACCAGGTTCATACATTGACAATGCAGTAGTAACCACCATATTTTCAATGAGGTTATTTGGATAATCATGTTAAGACAAAGATTTTAGTTGTTTTTAGGATATAATTCTGTACATGTGTAGTATGACAAATAAAGACAGAGGGCATGTTTCACATGTTATAGCTGAGGTTGTTCTTTTAAATTGTATTGTGTGTTTTCTTCCTTTCGTTCCTGGACAGTGGCAAAGTGTGGAATGACACCTGGGAACCAGCACAACAATATTCATGACTCCATGGCAACAGCAGCATATGCAGAACCTGGGGGCTTCGACAGTTTTAGCACAGTTTCTTCTTATAAAGAGCATGCTGTCATTTATAAATTGTTTCTTCATCATTTCATTGACGTTCACTTTTGAAATAAGGTTGTTGTTTTTTTTTCATTAGAATGGAAGTGTGCTGTTTAAGAATGATCAGTTTTGATAAGATGATAAAACACTGCCTGTGCTTTTATAAGCAAGATATGTCTTCACTGCCAGTTCGAAAACAGCTCACAAACACCCTGAAATAAGTTTTAGAAAACATGTTACATCTACCGCATTTCAGAGTTTATGTGTTATGTTTTTTTAATTTGATGATTTTCGCCAACTTATCATTATGCAGATACATGCAGGTAAATTGCTGTTCTTAAATGTATTTGTCTTAAATGTATTTGTATTTTGTTCTTAAACGTCTCGGTTACGGATGTAACCCTCGTTCCCTGAGTAGGGAACGGAGACGTTACGTCAGAAGTGACGGAGAATGGGGGTCAGTGCCATCACGCCATCTTCAAGCTGTCTTCTAGTACCCTGCGAAAGTCTGGACCCCTGCACCTTACCCTTTTTTTTTTTTTTTTTTTAGGGATCCCACTTTGACACAGGATTACCAAGGTACACTGGGAAACATATCCCGGGAGGGACATGCTACCAGATGCCTACCGAAGGAGGACTTACAAAAACACATATGGCCGCATAGGAACGCATGGCTACTAGAATTTAACTCCAGGGGTAACAGATGGCTTGCCAAGGGAAGACACATGCTCAGAGAGGCTTACAGTGGATAATACTGTATGGTAATAATATGGTAACTGTCTCATGTCAGTTACCATAGGGAACCGTGCACATGGAGGCACCTAGCCGGCAACCAGAGCAAACAGTGGTGCCCGCATCGTCGGTGCTGGAGGACTCAAGGCTTCAACGGAAGACACTGAGGAAATATCGCACTTATCCAATCCGAGGAGTGGAATGGCGAGCAAGCGAAGACACCTAAGCGGGTCCAGTACTGGCGGAAGCGAGTGCGTGAGAGGACACCGGCTCAATTCGCAGATTATAGAATCTGGCGAAGGTGTTAGGTGTCGCCCAGCCTGCAGCTCTGCAGATGTCTGTTAGCGAGGCGCCGTGCACTAGCGCCCAAGAGGAGGCCACACTCCGAGTGGAATGGGCCGTCACACCAAGGGGGCATGGACGGCCTTGCTGCTGGTAAGACAAAGCAATGGCGTCCACTATCCAGTGAGACAGCCATTGCTTTGAGAGAGCCCTTCCCTTCTGGCTCCCCCCATGACAGACAAAGAGCTGGTCTGAGGTCCTGAACACCGCGTTCTGTCAACGTAGGTGCGAAGAGCACGTACCGGACAGAGCAGTGCCAAGGCTGGGTCTGCCTCCTCCAGGGGCAGCGCTTGCAGGTTCACCACCTGGTCCCGGAAGGGAGTGGTGGGAACCTTGGGCACGTATCCAGGCCGGGGTCTCAGGATCACGTGAGAGTAAGCCGGCCCGAACTCCAGAAACGCTTCGTCAACGGAGAATGCGTGCAGGTCCCCCACCCTCTTGATGGAGGCCAGTGCAACCAGGAGTGCTGTCTTCATGGACAGCTGGACCGTCTGGGGATGGAGTCGCCATTCGCCGGAGATAGGGCAGATCCGTGACAGCTCGTCGGCTGCCCAGTTCCGGTCTCCTGGAATGTATACTGCACGAAGGGACCTTAGGTGCTTCTGACTCCATAACAAGAGGTGGCGGGCGAGCTGCGACAACCGGCGTGAGCGTAGACCACCCTGGTGGTTGATGTACGCTATTGCAGTGGTGTTGTCTGAGCGGACAAGTACATGTTGACCCCTGAGCAGCGCTCGAAAGCGGTGCAGGGCCAGGCGTACTGCCAGCAGCTCGAGGCAATTGATGTGCATGAGGCGCTGGGGTCCTGTCCAGGAACCGGCGGCTGCATGCCCATTGCACATGGCACCCCAACCTGTGGTAGATGCATCCGTGGAGACAACGAGATGCCTGGAAACTCGCTGAAGAGGGACACCGGCCCGTAAAAAGCTGAGGTTCGACCACGGGAAGAAGGTTCGGCGGCATGCTGGAGTCACTGGAACTCGAAGCGAGCCGCGATGCCATGCCCACCTCGGGACTCACCAGGCCGTCCTGTGTCCTCGAAGATGGTGAGGCCAGGGTGGGCTTCGAGCACAGCACAACGAGTAAGTTTGCATCACCTGTTTTTATATATACCTGTTAATATATAGATTTTTAGGCAAACATTTAGGCTTAAAGTACATTTGGATACCCATTTCTGATCATTTTAATTTAAAAAAACTATATACAATTTTTTTTGCAACCAGGAAGATGGGTCGGGGATGAAATACCACTCAGACATGAGATGCAGTTACCCCATGTGACCTGGGTAATTCGGCGATCGCATCCCTTGCTTATGGCAATAACCCTGTATACAGGGATCCCAATACAGGGAATAACACCAGGCCATCCTGTGTCCTCGAAGATGGCGAGGCCAGGGTGGCCTTCGAGCACAGCACAACGAGTAAGTTTGCATCACCTGTTTTTATATATACCTGTTAATATATAGATTTTTAGGCAAACATTTAGGCTTAAAGTACATTTGGATACCCATTTCTATTTTGTTTTGTTCCAAAATGTTATTTAACCATACTTTTCATTATCATTCTGTATGTTTCAACAGGCGCTTGCGTTCGGAGGATCCTGTGCCAGACAACTGGAGGGATCTCTGTCTGTAACAGATGCACTGTTTAATGTTTAAAGTGTCTTTCTGCTTTTTATTGTTTGTGTGTGTGTGTATATATAGTTCTTAACTTGTTAAAGCTTCAATTGAGTTCATCTATATATTTCTTTGTTGTTTCTGTATTAATTGTGTATATAGTTTTTACTTTGCTTTATTGTAATTTTAATAAAATACAGTTTGCTTTGAAAAATTGTTTGATTTGATCACAATACAAGCTAAGACGTCATATCCCAGAGGGCTTTGCATCTAAACAAACATGGCTGCACCCTCAATGTTACAAGACACACAAATAACACACAAATATCTCTGCAAAACCTCAACAGATTTGGAAATATATTTCAAAAAATGAGAAGAGTAGACCATAATGATATTTATTTAAAATAAATTATAAGTCCTCCATCTCTTCATTGTTGGCACAATACTGTAGAGAAATAAAAATCAAACGAAAAGTTGCAACAGAGTTTGACAGCTGTCTGTAAAATACTGTAGAAAAATCAAAATCAAATGACAAGTTAAAGTTATTTTAGTCCTATTTTATCTCAGTCACTCTAACATTTGGTGAATGTAGGGTCACAGACAATACTTATACTAATAAAAGATTTTTAACAGGAGATTATTTAAATCGAAAACCATAAGCTACAGCATAATCAACAAACAATCATAATGCAACAATAGGTTTGTGAAAATTATTTTTTATTAACAATATAAAAGAGCACTCCAAAAGAATATGTACACTGCATGTTGTTTACACATTTTATAAACTTGACACCATTATATATAAATGCACAGCCTCATCACATGCTCAAAAACACGTCACACAGTTTTACAGTTAGGGATTAGAGCTTATTCAGTTGTTTTGAATAGAGATCACTGTATTCTAATTTTTAGAAATCCCTTCCTGGGCATCTGAGAATGTGTGGAAGAAGATGCAGGCCCCGTGAACACTCCCGTAAGGCTCCCACTGTTAAAAGAATGATTGAATTCAGATTAAGGGAAATTATGTTTTTAAAACAGAAAAGAAATATGCATAGCAGCTTTAATTCTAATTCTTATTCGTATAGTTCTTTACACAATAGTGCAATTCTGAATTGTCCATAGAAAAATACAGTTAGTTAATCATGTATTAGTTTATGGGAAAACACATCACCGATGTTGAGTCGCCTCTTCACAGGGGTCGAGTCGTCTCTTCACGGGCGTTTGGTCATCAAATCACAGGCGTTGGGGCATCTGAAGTCTCCGTGACACGCTGGATACAAGCTGGACCTGACGAACCCCTATTTTCTCGGGACAAGCGTAACAGCAGAAAGGCAGATGCGAAATAATTAGCATAGCTGATGTTCATAATATTAATGCATTTGATCTGATTCAGCAGTAGTATAAAAGGTGAGCAATATGTGAATGAATGGTTAAAGAGATGCGTAACTTTATGGAAATTGTTCTCAGGTTCCGGCTCGCTCTCAGCATCCCTCAAGGAGCTCTGAGGAGCCGACGATGGAAGGAGACACTGTCCTGGGATGCCCGGGTAGAGTGCGTGGTGCCCTCTTCAAAATCCTGCTGTGGTAAACCAAAAACAGAGAGGTTATTTTACTAATGTACAGTGAGCATAAATTCATGTACAATACTGTTCAAAGTATTTACAATACACTTACAACAAGTACTCTACTTACAATACAGTCTGTCTGGGTTGTCAGTTCACAACGAGGCTCCATTTAAATTTGTCACACATGGTCTGTGAGAGGCAAGCAGACGTCCGGCAAAATCACAGTCTGAAAAAATAGAGTCTGAGATCCAACCACTCCAGCTCCAGGACGTAGATCAAGGTCAATTATTTCATTGGTCACACTGAGGCTCCTTTTACATGAAACTACAATGTTTAGACGCTATTGAGGCTCCTTTTACATGAACATCAAGTCCATACGCAAGCTCCCAATTTTGTCCAAACATCTATAGTTCATTCGCAAGCTCCCAATTTTGTCCAAACATCTATAGTTCATTCGCGAGCTCACAGTTGAAAAACAAAACATTGATAGTTCATAGTCTTGTGTCATAAAATGTGACACAAATTGTAAAGAATCAAATGTTCAGCCACTCCAGCTCCTCTATCTCCCCACGAAAAGTCCTCTTCTTGATGCCGTGGTCGAAGCAGATCTTATCATCTTTCTTAATGTCCGTGGTGGCCTGAAAGAGCAGGACGTGCCTGTCTCCCCCCTGAAGCTTCACTATGCAGTGGCATGGCTGCACGTTGCACTTCTTCTTTGAGTGTGTAATCCATCTCCCGATGGTTTCCAGAGACGGGTGGCACTCACAGGGGAAAGTCTCCGCATCGATGCAGATTTCGTCAGGGCCATGTTTGAAGAAAAACAGGTTGCCCAGCTGGTCCTGCGTCTCTGCCATCTCCCTGCCCTCAGCACCTGTGATCACCTTTCCGTGGAAATCACACAGGATGGAGCCCTTCCCGAAGGCCTTGGTTGCAACAACGCCTGTGGTCAAAAAGAGGGAGTCATTAATGTGCTGTTCAGTTATTATATTCATTTTATTTATGGATTTTACTGTGCTCATAAGACAGTTGTACATACCTTTCTGCTCCCCAAAGGCCTTCACAGCCAGACCCGACCATTTCTGCCTGGTCACCCCCTTGATGATGCCCGGGTCACTCTCCGCCTGTGCTCTGCTGAGCGGCCTCCACTTCGCCATGATGTCCTCTGGACGAGGATGATTGGCCGTCCAGCCCTCTGCATCTATGACTTTGGCCACCATCGCTGCAGTTGGGGTACGTCTTGAGAATTTTGCTGTCAAAGAGAACACATTTGAATTAAAATTCAGGTTCACACACTAGTTCAAAATGTTTCTGTTGGAGCAAATCTAATCATTGGATCATAAGGAAGTATATACACTTACACAAAAGATGTTGCTCCCGAAGGCTGTACTGCAGAGCCCTCCACTTGTCATAAAAGACTCTGTCGGCGGGGAACCCAGCTTTTTCTCTCTGGGTCTTGTTGGGTGGTTTGCCAGTGATTCCCACAGGGAATGCCTGCAGGAAAGCATTTAAGTCCGGGGCTGGGCTGCCAACCTCTTCTTTCACCCGCCTTCTCTTCACTGCCTGGGTGCCCTCTTCACCAGAGTCGTCAGAAGAGGAGCTGCAATATTGAAAAGGTTTGGAGGTTACACACTAACGAACTGATGGATGAGCGTTGAGAGACATTATAATTATAACAGATTTATAACATAATTATATTACAGATAATTACATACCGTGTCAGGGAGCTGACAACGGCTGCTTCAGAGCTGCCACCGGCTGCTTCAGAGTGGCCACCGGCTGCTCCAGAAGGTTCACCCGCCGTGCTGGTGGACGCCTCTTCTGAGTCCAGGTCTGCCTGTTCAGGAGCATTAGCCACAAAAAAGTCTCTTTGGCAAAGCTCTTTCAGAAGAGCCAGTCTGGATGGTCTGTGGGGGTAACGTTTCACCATCTCCTTGTAGTCCCAGTTCCTGGCTTGCCGTGTCCACGCCTTGGCAGACTCCTTTGCCCTATTTGTTTCCTCCATCCGTTCTTCGGGTGTGTTCTTTTTCATACACACTCTGCTCAGATGCGTCGACAGCATCTCCTGTGGTTTCCCACACAGCAAGCAGTGAATGATGCGACGGTTGGATTTCTGGCTGTGAGACAAAGCAGACACACCAAAACTTACAAATCAAATGAATGAAGACAGTGAATTCTTAAAACAGAGGCCTAATGTGACCCTTGACCAGCAAAACTTAAAAAAGAGATAAAAACTTAAACCTTAAACTCTTAAGTATGCAGCAGAACAGGGCATTGTCCTATTACCATTGAAATGGAGCTCAACAGAAAATACACAAAAACACAAACATTACCGCTTCTCAGCTTGTCCTTCCATTTCAGCAAAATCCAATTCAGATTGTCTCAGCAGATCAGCAGAGTAGATAGAATCCAAGTGTTCTCAGCAGATCAGCACAGTAGAATCATTTGAAGAAAAGTGATTTCTCTAGCAGAATGCTTCCCAGATAAACCTCCTGAGTGTCTCAAACCAGCCAATCAGATCGCAGTATTATACAATGGGTGTCTGCCTCTGCGCAGACCTGATAATGGGCCATCATGAGATAGCTGAGCCATCAGTGAGCCATCAGTGAGCCATCAATGAGCCATCAGTTTTACTGCCTGAGCTTGTGAAATGAAACTGATTAGTTCTAATGGTTTTTAAATGGGCAATCATATTTACTGCCAGGGATACTTAAGTGTTTGTTGGCTTAAGAGATGGAATTAATTTAAGTCCTGAGGGAAATAATCTTTCTCAACTCTTAATCTTTCCGAACTCACTGATTAATTTGATGCTAAAAGCAGAAAGAAAGCTTGAGATTTGAGTTAAATAAAGACGTTTTAGCACAGCAGAAACAGTAACGACAAAGGCCTGGGGTGAGTTCAGCGGTGACAGCCGCAACTTTAGTCTGTATTATCAACTCCCTGAACAAGATACAGATAATTCAATGCAAACACATTAAAGTGCAGGTCTCAAGCTTTCAATAGACGTGCAAAACTTGTATGTAGCATAAACAATGACTGAGATGCGTTCATTTTAATAAAATAATCCAAGTTGAAAACTGGTAAAGTGCTCCCAGATTTTCACCACGGCAAAGAGGTCAGCTAACCTGACGACCTCTCATTCTCTCTATGAACATGGTAAAGACAAATAAGTGTTGGGGTATGAAAGCACACATACCCCTAGATTAGTTTTATATTAAATAATAATATCAGGCTGTTTCATGTTTTTCCCAGCCCGAGAGAGCAGGGGTCAAACAGGCCTCGAATTAGGCCTCTGAGCTTTACAGTGACTGCACTAAAAATGGCTGTACGAATTTGTTTCTGCTTATTGCTGGTCAGAGAGGGGAAAAGATTATTTCCCTCAGGACTTAAATTAATTCCATCTCTTAAGCCAACAAACACTTAAGTATCCCTGGCAGTAAATATGATTGCCCATTTAAAAACCATTAGAACTAATCAGTTTCATTTCACAAGCTCAGGCAGTAAAACTGATGGCTCATTGATGGCTCACTGATGGCTCAGCTATCTCATGATGGCCCATTATCAGGTCTGCGCAGATTCTCTTGGATTCTATCTACTCTGCTGAACTGCTGAGACAATCTGAATCGGATTTTGCTGAAATGGAAGGACAAGCTGAAAAGAGGTAATGTTTGTGTTTGTGTATTTTCTGTTGAGCTCCATTTCAATGGTAATAGGACAATGCCCTGTTTTGCTGCATATTTAAGAGTATTTTATTTCTTTTTTTTTTTACTTATGTCTCATTCTTTCAGATCATAGTTTAAACAATGGATTCTATATCATGTAATTTTGTTTTTAAGGTCCGCTGATCATACCGTTGTCCACTGCTTGCAGTGCCACAAACCCCAGGAAAACCTTGCTGCTCACCTGGCCAGAGTCTGCATGAAGAAACGCACGCCCGAGGAGAGAGCGGCCGAGGTTCAGAAAGCCAAGGCTTCGAGCAGAGAGTGGGTTCGGATGAACAGGACCTGGGACTACAACCAGATCTGTGCGCTCCTGCCTCATCACCGCTCTCGCGTCATCATGTTTCTTCAGCGTGGTTTTTTTATCACGAACCAGCCCCGCGAGTCTGACTGTGATGAAGATGATGCTTCTGCTCCTTCATCTGATCTTCCTCAAACGTAAGGGCAATCCTTAAACATTTTAAATGTAAATTCTTTTCTCACTTTATGTTATTGATAACTTTAATAGTCTTGTCTGTTATGTTTAATCCAAACAGCCGGTTGGTTCAGAGGGCTCCTGGCATTAAACACTGCCAGAAGATCGTGAGAGTGGCGAAGCCGGACGTGCTCAGGATCCAGAGGGACCTCCAGGCGGGCAGAGAGCTCTCCAACACGGACCAGACGCTCTACCGCTATTACTGCGAGGCGCTCTTGGTGTTTGTCCACATGCAGCGTCCCACAGCTGTGGAAGCCTTGACGGTAAGTTCACTCTGTACACACTCTGTATGTGCTTTAATATTGGCACACTTGTGCATTTGTAAATAACGCCTTTTCAATATTTTCCAGGATGCCGAGTGGGTGAACAAGACCAAGCTGGGTGACAGATTTGTGATCGGCGTACAGAGGGAGAAAACCTCGAGTATGCAGATCGCTCTGAGGAGGAAGCTGTAAGTTTTACTGTACAAACTGTTGATTTCTCACCACCATAGTTTTAAATGGAATAACTCATCTGTCTTTTTTCCGTAGTGCTTGGAGCTGTACTTCAGACGAATCAGGCCTGAGAACATTCAGCCGGAGAAACTCTGCAATAGTTTCTTTGTTTCGTCATCCGGCGTGGAGGTTCAAAGTGTCTCTCGGGACATGAATCGGCTCCATAAATTGTAAGTGCCTTACACGGGTCCATGTGTGTGTGTGTGTGTGTGTGTGTGTGTGTGTGTGTGAACGGATACACTTCTTTGTATCTTGCCTCATCACAGTCACATAACAATTAATATTTCCTTTTTGTTTCTGCAGGTACAAGCTGGCTCCTTTCTCTGCCCAGTGTGTGCGGAGGGCTGTTGAGGAGGCTGCAGAAAAGCTCCCGGCGCAGCAACAGGAGGCGCTCCACCATTACCTGTCCATCAGCGCTGGTGCGGTCCGGCCGCAGGATGTCATCAACGCAGCTCTGCTGCTGGAATCATTAGTCAGGTATACATCTCTTCATCCAACCATGGCATTACTCATCACAAACAAAGTAACGTCATTCTGTCTTTCAGCACATTTCACAGTCCGCAAGCCTTCAGCCGCAAAGGTGGCACGGCTTATTACACAGGAGGGGTGGAAGGTCAACTGTCCCAAGCCGGAGGACATCGAACGGCTGTGGACACCACCTTCGAAGGCAGATGTTGAAGATGACAAGTTCATCCTTCGCTGTGTGTCTGAGCAGAACTGGTCGGGCATGGCCATAAAAGACTTTGGTGATGAGCGTGGTTTTGGTAAGAAAACCTTTCATTTGTCTTGTAAGGGCAGAAAAAAACAATAATGTAAAATGTACAATTTAGCAGCCAATAACTGCAGCAAGAACTACATTTACATTCTGAACTGTTTGTCTACATGTAATTGTCACCAGGTGACAATTGGGCGGAACAATGAACGCGGTGTTGTTTCCATGGGGAGCTAATTTAATGTAACACCCCGCCGGTTGCCCCATGAAAAACAGTTCGGCTGGATTCCGCAAAGGAGAAACGAGCGGCAGCTGTGAGATGGGCGGAGATTGAATCATCGCGTTCACGAGGGGGATCATAAAAGCAGATGTTCGAGTGAAGAGGGCAAGCGGCAGGGGACAGAGGAATCCACGGCAGGGAAGGAGCCTGAAAACAGCAGTTCAACCCGGATGGAGAAGGAGAGACAGCAGTAACAGTAAAGTGCCATTGGAGATCCTCATTATCTGACTCCGGTCTACCGTATATAAACGACCAGTGAATTTGCCCTGGATCTTTGTGCATTCTGAGGTTGCCTATTGAGGTCTTCTGTTTGATATTGTGGTAACCTTTTTATGGCAGTGGTGTGTGCGTAGTATACTCTCCATACAGTGTGGACACGCTGTTCCATCCAACCTGGTCTCACAGGATTCCGTGAAATGTCCACGGGCTAGGGCTGGGCGATATATCGAATATGTACGATGTATCGTTATATTTTTTGAAACGATATGGAATGAGGCAATACCGTTTATATCGATACAGTAGTTTGAAATGAGCACATCTGAAAAATAGCGGAGGTTGCAGTGTGAGCTGCTGCAGTGAAAGTAGCTAGGCTACGTAGTACAATTTGTCCTAAACATGACACAAGCTTATATTAATTGCGTCAAAATCACTTTGATATAGTTAACAAGTTTAAGGCAGCTTGCCGCCCTGTCAAATGCTCTGACAGACACTGTTGCTGACTGACAGATATACTTGCGCTGTTTAATGCGTTTGAGATGTGGTGCTTTCCTCAGTGCTCAACTTACATTTCACATATTCTCCATCTGTAAATGTTAGAAAGTAAAGCAAATATGTCCATTTCACAACAAATATGTCCATGTCAGAAGAGGACGAGCTTCTGCAAGTGAATCTCCGCTAAAATTCATGCTTCCTTGAACGAGCGCCGGCGCGCGCAAGCGTGTGAATAGTACTACGTAGTACGCAATAATTCTGACTAAAATAAACATATTGCTAAAATATTTGTTGTTGGAGAAAATAAATGTGCCATATGTGGAATTTTAAACCTACAAGTATATATTTTTAATGAAAGTGAAAGTGATTATAATGGGGTAATCAAATGCAGGCTAATATAATTAGTTTGTGCTTTTGTTTTTGTTTTTATTTTCATTTTTAGTTTAGCTTTTAGTCAATAATAAAAACAAAAGCTTTTTGCACATAATATATTGCATAGCCTATATTATATTTGTTTCCATATCCTTCAATATCAACATTGTTTGTAGGATATCATTGGGCCGAATGTGAATATACTGTATATATATATATATATATATATATATATATATATATATATATATTTTTTTTATATAAAGATTTTCTTTATCTAAATAGAAAACGTAGAAAGTACCGAGATATATATCGTATATCGCCATTTGACCAAAAAATATCGAGATATGATTTTTTGGCCATATCGCCCAGCCCTACCACGGGCCCTTAACTCAAAATCCGTGGAAACATCACGGAATCGCCGCGAATTCCGTGATGCGGCCACGGATATAACTCCAACGCAAGTCAATGACACTCACTTTCCGTGGTCCACACACGGATACCCGTTTGAATGACGGAGTACAGATCTCACCCAACGGACGTGCTTTCTCATTTGGAAACGCAACATTTGAAGTGTTATAGTTTCTTTTCCAACAATAAAAGCCATAATGACGTTAACCTCTTTATTACAGCTATTGCTCTGTCCTGCCGTCATACAAATTCAGTTTGTTTCAGTTAACCGATGTCCCGTGATGGCACCACGGACCTCAACAACCTGACCTCATGGACGTTGTAATGTGGCTGGCTTGTTTAGAAACTAAGCTTATGTCTACTCTATTACAATAATGGCATGTAATTAACTTGACGTTTTGTCTCGTCCTCATAAAATCCAGTTTGATGGCGTTTACACCTATTTCTCGCTTGGCTACGGTCAGAACTAAAATCTGTGATAGCGGCACGGAGTGAGTCTGTGCTGATACCACGGATAACTCCAGCGCAAGTCAATGACACTCATCTTCCGTGGTCCACACACGGATACCCGTTTCAATGAAAGAGAACAGATCTCACCCAACGGACGTGCTTTCTCATTTGGAGACGCAACATTTGAAGTGTTAGTTTATTTTCCAACATCAAAAACCATAATGACATTGTTATTGTTGCACTGTCTTGCCATATTCAGTTCATTTAGCCTAACCGATGTCCCGTGATGGCACCACGGACCTCAACAACCTGACCTCGTGGACGTGAATGTGGCTGGCTTGTTTAGAAACTCAAGCTTTATGTCGAATCTATTACAATAATGGCATGTAATTAACTTGACGTTTTGTCTCGTCCTCATAAAATCCAGTTTGATGGCGTTTACACCTATTTCTCTCTTGGCTACGGTCAGAACTAAAATCTGTGATAGCGGCACGGAGTGAGTCTGTGCTGATACCACGGATAACTCCAGCGCAAGTCAATGACACTCATCTTCCGTGGTCCACATGTTACACCCCTGAAAAAGGGGAGAAATAATCACGAGAGTGATACGAGTCAACTTTCCTCACTGAAAACTTTTACTGTTATCAGGAAAAGACCGCGATTTCCCCGGAAACTTGGGTGGAAGACAAAAGCAATCGATCGCGCCACATCGATTAAGATCACTTTGGCGATCACAGATTAACACATTTTACCCATAAATTAGGCACAACAAAATTAATTAATCACTCGAACGTTTACATGTTGCTCTATTAATTTTAACCCTTTGAAGACATGTCAGATGAACTTTTTTACACAATTATGTGGACTGAAATTATGAATTGTTTCATTATATAAATTGTTTCAATCCCTATTACTACAAGAATACTGGATGCATTACCTTTTTAATCTTAGATATTTTTAAAATCCTCACATCCTATTAATATTGCAGCAAGTATTTTTATAAACTGTCACACACACACGGATACCCGTTTGAGTGACGGAGTACAGATCTCACCCAACGGACGTGCTTTCTCATTTAGAGACGCAACATTTGAAGTATTAGTTTCTTTTCCAACAATAAAAGCCATAATGACGTTAACCTCTGTTATTGTCCTGTCATCATACAAATTCAGTTTGATTCTGTTAGCCTAACCGAAGTTCTGTTACTCACTGGAATCTGGATGTTTTAATGCGTTTGCTCATTTAATCATTAAATAATTAATCAAGTCTTCAGGTCGACTGTTTGGTATAATCAACATTTGCCCCGTCATTGAAAAATCCAATTTGATCACGTTTTCCATTTAGCCAGCCTTGATATCTTTACATTTCAGAGAAATGCTGTGCCTCTTGCGACATTACCACTGATCTGGAATGGATCTGTGGTGGACCCACGGTCAACATGGTCTTGCTTTTGATGTTTACTCATTAAACTTGAATACTTCAGGTCAACTGTCTAACAATGGCGCTATTGCACTGTGCTATAATTTATTCAGTTTGATCATGTTAACCTTCCATGGTCGACACACAGATTCCCTCAGTAGCCTGATCTGGATGTTGGTTTATGTTGTCTGCTCATTTGGAAACCTAAGGCTTCAGGTCGACTTTACAATCGACCTGTCAAAATAAAATCCAGTTTGATCATGTTTTGCAGCCATTTATTTGAATAGATTAAAAGTGAATTTGTAATGCCACCACCGATTCATCCGTGGGGAAAACAAGGACTACAAACTCCGGTTCCACTCAATTAAAAATTATTTTGTTAGTGAATTTCAAAATAATTAATTTTCATGGCGTTACTTTTTTTTATTTTTTTTATTTTTTTTTACAGAAATCATGTGATGGACCCATGGACCCAATAGGACTATAAAGTCACCGTCTAAAAAAGGACATTGTTATTGTTTGGGTTCATGGATTACCATGAACATTTAGTCGGCGAAAGAGTGACCCTAAGCCTATGCACAATCCACATTAACAGAAAACAGGCAATCCATCCATAATCATATACTTGATCTGGTTAAAAAAGGCAACATTAAAAGCATGGAATGCTTGTACAAGGGATTATTATTTGAGCAGTAGTGGTAGTGTGCTCATCCCCACATGTGCCGGGCAAAAGGGGGCTGGATAACTTAAAATAATGAGATACCCGCACTCTGCTATTTTCCCCATAAATACTGTGCTGCAACGTTTTGACCCTGCATTTTTGCACAATAAAAGTATGAGAGAAATAGCAGAGTGCGGGCATCTAATTTTTTTAATTTATTACTCATGGACAGAGTTGTCAAAAATACACACTTTCCATACTCAAGTAGGAAGACTTTTACATTTCTTCTGAGATAACGGGAAATCATATTCAAGGTGGATTTTCTATTTATTTCCTTAAGACCATAACAATTTATCCTCTATACAATTTCCACAAAACATCATGTGAACTAGTCAAGAAGGAACGAACTTACAGAGAAACAAGCATTGTGATATACAAAGTAGACAGGACAATAATGCAGTGTAGACAGAAGTATACAGTTGGTTTACCGAACATGGCTTAGAATAATGAAAATGAACTATAAATGTGTGCAGTGAATTAGCGGTTACCACATAAGAGCAGAATATGGCTATGTAATATGAACAATGCATGAACAATACGATATGTGAAAAGTAGTATCTGTAACATTATAATAGTAGTAAGAATAATGTGTATGCAGTGTAAGAAAAACAAAATAAATATGGATATTCAGTATGAACCATATAGACATATGTACATCTATGTGCAGTGTGGTAACAGTACCATTGTAGTGCAGAAACATTATGAGTAGTAAGAATAAGTGTATGTTTCAGGATGAATAGTATGGAGAGCAGTAGAATATGGCTATGTATAAGTGTAATTACAGTGTAAATGTACATTTGAAGAGTTCAGATGCAAAAGCCTCTAAATGCCATTTCAAATTTTCTTCTTTAATGATGATTTTTTATCAAACTTGTATATTTAAGTTCAGTAATTTTACTTAAATAACAATTAATAGGTAATCACCATTGCCATTTAAGTGAAATCACTGAACTTAAATATACAAGCTTGATAAAAATGATCATTCTAGAAGAAAATTTCAAATGGCACTTAGAGGCTTCTGCATCTGAACTCTTCATTTGTACATAAACAGAACATAATGGGTCTCATTCATGAGACACGAGGAGAAAAAAAAAATTGTAAATCGTGTGTAAAGTGGTTCTGGCGTGAATTTTTCGTAAGAAATCTACACCTGCTCCCTGCCACGCGTAAATAGTGCGTTTAACATTAGAACGTTTTGAAAGGCATCATTTTAAAATTCACCTTAATCGGGTACATGTTTACACATCATAAAAATATATATATATATATATATATATATATATATAGTAATTACGTACGGATTTTCTGCAAATGGAACACAAGTCCGCAAGTCTTTTTTTATTATATTCAAAAAAAAAATAATATATATATATA